GAAAGATGGGCTTCAACACATACTGACCCCCTTGTCTCTCTCAGACTCTCTCTTGGACAGGCATGATATTGACCCACACGAGTCTGAAGCATAGAAAATCCAGAGATTGGTCTTGACAAACACCTTGAAACCCCATCTTCCACGTGTCAGTCTGCATGCAGGCCTCCCAAGCCACATGTGTGGAGACCGTGCACGGCGGCTGATGCTAAGATGATGGAGCAGCACTGTCTTCCTGTAGTGTCCTGCTGCAAAATCTCAAGCTTTCGTCAAAGCAGAAAGAATTATTTCACAACAGAACTGCCACCATCAGACCTTGGCTGAGCAGACATTAACCCAGAAGCTCTAGGAGTGACATGTGATGACTATAAAGGACATAGAAATGAGTTTCAGTCAATGGCTGAAATTCCCAGGGAATGCATTTTAGAACTTTCCTTCTTAAAGCAAATAGATTCAGCACTTGGGTTCTTTCTCTTCTCTGCTCGATCGCTCATCACAGTGAATTGGTCCATGATCCCATTTGTTACCAGTTTCCTTAAAACATGTTTCTAAAAGAGAGACCAATCTTATGAATGGGACTCATGGAAACACACTAGTACTAAATGAATTTATTAGTTCAGAACAGGAATACAAAAAAAATATTACACGGAAATACATTTCCTAACTGCTCATGACTTTTCAAGCCCTCCTTTGAGGATGCCACAGAACAATTAGCAGTTACAAATCCTGCCGTGACAAAGTGGAACAGAAGAACATGCTCACACCAGCACACATTTCAATTTAGAATCAAAACTGCCCCTCGTTCATGAAAATCCTCATAAGAGACTGCGACCAGGGCAATGGTGAAAGGGAAAAATGGCCTGTACGTGGCAATCAGTTTTGACACGAGGCCCATCAATAGCCCAGGCTTTCCCAGCACGTCATTATCTATCTGATCTGCCAAATCTGATCCTTAACAACATTGTCTCCAGAACAGCTGACATACCCTGGAAAAGTCTGTCTTGTAAATCACAAAGAGAGATGACAGGTTTCACCGAGTTCATCAGCGATAAAAAGAAAGGCGGTATAGAAGAACAGATACCACTTCCTGGCACAGTGATCTCAGTGAACGGAATGTATTTCGAAAGGGGAGAAAAAAAACTCCATACCCCAATTTTTATCGAAACCAAGTAAGAAACCACTGACTTAAACCTATTTATCTCAGTTCCCAACTAAATTGAGTTTTTGAAATGGAGAGACAAACGATCAGGTAGATGGCAAGATTTTACGGTCTAAAAAAGTGGTGAGGAAGACTGAATCGGGGCGGCAGATCAGTCAGGCTGTAGTTTCTCCCTCCTATTCTGAATCCACAGAAGTAACAACAGAAGATTTTTTTAAAAGAAAAGGAACCCGTAACTATACTGCTGGATAAGGAGAAGCATCCTCTATGGACTAGCCGCTACAAGGAATCCCTGAAAGCAAGAAAGTGATGGAGCGGATAGGTGGAGAGAATCCAAAGCTCAGACACTGAAGACCTCCTAAAAATGACACCAGGGACATTCAAAGCTCAGAGGTGGCTAATGCCTGGAGCCAGTAATACCAAAGGGCAACAGACCTCCTGGGTTAGAGCAGGCTCCTGCTCCTGCTTAAGCAGCCACCTGGCCAGTCCCTCCACACTTCCACTCATCACCCTGGACCGGGCAGCGACAAGATGCAAGCAGTGTGAGCACTAAGTTCAGAGAGGCTTAGCAGCATGCCCAAGGCCAACTGGGGAGCGCTCTGCTCACGCCCAGGCAGGCTGCTGCCGGCTCATCCTGACCTTCCCTGCGACGGCTCTTTAGAAGAGCTTAGAACTTCAGAAGATTCCTTAATAGCCTCAGAAAACACAAGGATGACAATGCACTTCTGCACACACTCACACACAAAATAAGGGATCTTGGAAATGAAAATTGTGATCGCAAATTAAAAATTCAGCTGATGGGCTGACAGCTAAATGGGTCAGCTGAAGCTCAACTCATTGAGCTGGAAGATCCAGTTAAGTAATCCTTCTAGAGTGCAGCACAACAGAGAAAAGCTAAGGGATATACAGAGAACAGGAACAAAAGTTCAGAGATCTGAAAAGAGGAATTTTAGAAGAAAAGAACAGAGAAGTTGAACAAAGGAATAATAACAGCAAAGACAGGAAAAAAAATTGCCCAGAATTAGAGATGATGTCTCCGATTGAACAGGATGAGAGAAGACCTACTCCCAAAGATCGTACAGTGAGTTTTTAAAACACCCAGGACAATGAAACAAGTAAAATTAAGCATATAAAAGGGGAGAAGGGACTCTAATTAAAATTCCAATACAATCAAAGGCGTCTGGGTAAGTGTTTCACTCAAATGGTCATGAGGACAACAGAGATCTTCCTTTCACCCGACCACTGGGATCATCCCAGGACCACTGGTACTGGTACCAACAGCTGGTCACCCAGCCTTGGATTTCCACCCACTTATGCAAGCTACAGAAACACAGTCATTCAGCTCACTCCCTGGACCTCAAGATCTGGAAACGTGCCACTAAATCCCTGACTACAAACCCCAAACCAATCACCCTTCCCATCAAACAGGGTCTTTGGCCTCCTTAGAACTACTGTCCCTTCACCCCTCACTGTTCTCCCACGCCGTCATGTTAGCACTGCTGACTCAACTTCCTTCCCCCATTTGCCTAGATCCTGTGATAAATCTCTTGCTCTTGAGTTAGCAGCCTCCATTAATTTTTCACAATTCCTTGTGCCATGACAACCAACGAATTCCCCAGTAGACTTAATCTACTCCATCATGGTTGGCCTAATCTGGGCTACTGAGCCTCTTAGGCATGGCACAACCACATCACCTGGCTCCACTGCAGACACCCAGCTCTGGCCTCACCGGGGTCCTTGGTGGCCTCAGAGCTGTCTCAAAATCCTCTCTGCCCCCAGTCAGTTCCCCAGTCCATTCTTCATAGATACTGTCCTAATCTCCATTCTTTCATCAAAGTTCTCTAGCTGCCCCCAGTTCCCCTGGCTCACAATACATGACTCAGTATATGATCAAGCTTTCTTCAGATGTATTTTGTGAGCCATCCCTCTCTCTGTGTCTCTGTCTCTCTCTTGCCTTTTGAGATGGCCTGTATCTCCCTGAATATATATTTTCACTCAAAAAAAAAAGCTGTGAGCTATTAATATACAGTGATATATTTTAAATGTTAAGATAAAATAGGTTAGAAAAAACATTATTCCACATACAAAACTCAGGTGTATCATCCCCTTTATTTCTAAGGCCAATTATTCCTTCCAACTGTGCTTCATACTCCCAGTTACCCTCTGCCTGAAACTCCCTCCTGTTTTGGCTTTGTCCACATCACTCTTGTTTTTCCTCCTACTTCAGGCCACACCCCCTTTATCTCCACCAGCTTCTCTGCCAACATACCAGTATGCCTCAGACCTCTGCCTTTTCACTAGAACATGCTCGCAAGGTGATCTCATCCACTCCCACGGCTGCATTTATCACTGTCATATGCAGGTGATGCCCTCATTTACACCTAATAACCCAGGCTTAAATGTCCAGCTGCTTACGATTCATCTTTACTCCCTTCAAACCCAACATATCAAACCAAACTCTTTTTCTATTCACCTAGTTCCCTGCATTTCTCTTTTGGTTTATGGAAATGCCATCCACTTAAAAGTTTTCCAAGGAAGAAAAATGTTAAGTCACCTTTGACACTTCCTTTTACTTAGCCTTCACACCCAGGTCACCAGGGACCCAGGTCATGTGTCCCTAACTCTTCATTTCCAAAGTCACTACATCTCTCACCTGGACCCTCCACTATAAATAACGTGTACCTACACTTGTGAGAGGCAACCTGGGCTGCACATTAGAATCACCTGGGGAACTTATTAAACTCCTAATGCTCAGAGCACACTTTAGGTCAATTATATTAGAGTCTCTGGGAGTGGGATCCAGACATCAGCATATTTTTGCAAGACTCCATATAACTCTCCCAATACACTGCCAGGTTTTAAAATTTTGCAGAACTGAAGACACGAACCCACAGACCAAAAGTGTATATTGAATGCTAAGCAAGAAAAATAAAAACAAATCTTAAACTAACCAAGTGAAAGTGAAACTGAATAACCTTGAGGATCAAGAAAAAATTATGAAGAAGCTCCTGGAGAGAAAGCGCAGACTGTCTACCAAGGAAAGAAAATTACACCAACAGCAGACTTGTCATCTGCAACATCAGATGACAGAAGACAAGAAGAAAAAAAATCTTCAAAGTGATGGGAAAATGTGAGCCTAGAATTCTGTGGCCTGCTAAACTGTTCTTTAAGAATGAAAGAGACTTGTGCAGACACACAAAGACAAGACTCTACTACTATTCACAGACCATCACTAGTAGAATTAACCTTAAAAAGAAAAGCTGTCAGTACACAGGTAAGTGAGCCAAAAGATTAGGGAAGTATTTAATGATACTAAGTCTGGATTCCACCTAGAAAAGGGATGTGTGAGATACAGGCACACTGAGAGGTTCCAAGGACCTTAATGAAGGCAAAGCAGCTCGATGAAAACAAATGAAGTTTATAACAAGAGTACCAGCAGGATTCTTGCTAGTTTAATTATTTGCTTGTCCTTTCATAGAATTTAAGTTTCAGTTTTCAACTATTCAATTTTTGAAACTTTAAATAATCAAAGCAAGGAAGCACTGCCAATATCACAGTGTTAAAAGAGGTTTACCACTTTCTTTCTTTGCAAAAAAAAAAAAGATGTAATATCTTTATATACTTATCAAAATATCAAAACAATTTTGTCATAAATATCTTATTTTCTTTGGGTGGTATGAAAATAATGTAAGAACTCCAAAATGACAATCATTCAATTCCTTTAATACTAAACTTAGTTTCTTTCATTATTTCTTAATAAATTTAACCATACATGTTAATTTTATTAAATTAATCCTCAGTAATACAATTCTAAGATTAACCATAAAGAAGAAAAAAAAGACTCTTAACCAAGATGATAATTATACATTTAATACTTCTTGCTTTAAACAGCAATTTTCAAAGTAAACACATCAGAGGCCTTATAATTTATTAAAGATTTATAGCGCTTACAAAGTTGATTCTAAAAATATACCTTATTTGTTCTAAATGAATAACATTATCTGGAAGATAGAATAATAAATTATAGTAGTATGTTTACCACCAGTACAGTTAAGATTGTGTACATATATTTAGTTTGAAATCCTTTTAGGATGTCCACACTTTCAGCCTTAAAATATAGGAGCAGATTAAAGTCTGGCATACAAGATCTCAGTCAGACAGCAATGGTTTGAAAATCAAAAATTGAAAAATATCTAGTTGACATAGAGAGTGTGAGCACATGCACATACATACACACGTACATCCGTCCTCCCTCTCACTCAGTCCCACACACAAACACACACACTCACACACACTCACACAAACACACATCTCCAGAGAAGCACAGATTTCACCCTTGTGTGTCAGACAATTGCCATCAATTTCAATGGGGGGGAGTTAACGAAGAATATGTTTAAATCATACTTCAATGGCTCTAGTTGTTGGCTCTAGATATGTATAAAACTGTTATCAAGGTCTTTAACATGCACTATATACTACCTCAATATATTCTTAAACAATAACTCCAAAACTATGCACAAATGGGCATCTGAATATGTAAGAAATTATGTGCCCATCTATTCCCCAGACAGCAATCCACTGACATCAGTCATATGACGCAGCCACACTAAAGTGGTTTACTTTACAGAACCCAATAGATTATGGGACCTAAGAAAATCAGAAACTTCATGATGACCTGTTTGGGGTTTCTTATGTGTTCCATGTGCAAAAGCAGTGGAATACTGTATTACAAATGACAGTTAATATCACTGAACACTTTGTGGCACTGCAGAAGGTCATTATGTATTTCTAAAACATATTTACTCTAGGTAAAATTTTTAATGGTCCTTACTTTTAATTGTATGTATTCTTCCAGATTTAGACTCAAAACAATTTAATGCTGATAAACTCTCCTGCTCGTCACTTTTACCTCCAGGAAAATAAGTTAAAATAAAAAATTATTACTCTTTGGACTCTTTCCAGTGACACAGGTTTGAAAATGTTCTATGGAAGTTCTTTTTCATCATATAGTAAACACCAAAGCTCTCTGAGACAACATTAAAATAGAAACTAACCACACATTAGGGCGCCCATGACTCGCACTGCTGTCATTGGAAAAACAAACAGGCACAACAGTAAGCAAAAGAGAATATGCCAGCTCTCCATTTGATTGGGGGGGCTGTCCTCATATTTTATTTCACTAAGTTTATAAATTGTTCAAAGCATTCTTAGACTCTGCAGGATGACAATAGAATATTTTGGCACATCAACATTGTGATACAGCATATGGTATGTTTAAAAAATTAATTTAAAAATTTCATCTATGAATCAACATGTTCTTTTTTAATGTAGTGCATATATATTTTACAGTTATTTAAGTCAAATACATAAAGGTTTGTACTTGATTTACAGATGAAGCAATCACAGATTGCAGTAATATATGTGTGTGTGTATATATATGTATATGTCTGTCTCTATATATACACCGATCAAGGGAAAAACTGCATCCTGGCAATTTTACAGTCCGAACTTTTGTTGGTGCATCTATCATTTACATGCTCTTTCCATCTTATTTTTCTGTACAAAAGATAAATTTTTGCTTTCTTCATTCTTGATGAGATTTTTCTGCAATAACTTTACATTCATACTGTAAAAATTAAAAGGTTAATAGATTATCGTTTATTCTGAATAGCAATTTTCATGTAAATATAAAAAAGGTCTAAAACTTAACAGTTTATTAATATATGCTCACTTTATTCCTCAAAGATTCTGAGAGTTACGCAACTATTAGGATTAAATGACAAGTGTGATTGGGTAAAAGAAAGTTCACATTCTAGAACTGAACGAGGCATAGCCAAAAGCAGGAGAAAGCGAGGTTTCCACATTACAAGCACACGAGAACAGTAAATGATTCGGATCCATCCCGGAATATCAAAGGGAGCAAAACAAATTCCTTTGAGTGCTTGCTGAGGCAAATCAGCAAAGGAACGCTCATGAACTTAAGGACAGGACTGATATCATGAACTCAGATAACATCTTTTCAAGTAACTTTGAAATTTAAAGGAAAAAAATCTATTATGTTAGTAAAAGCTCCTGATCTAAACTATTTTTAAAGTGCAGCTATAAAAATGTACACCCATAATTCAAAATAAGGTACACCAATGAACTCAGGCCAACTGGGTGGCCAGATTATCAAACAGACAGCAATGTGACCCAGTCAGTTCTCCCAGCCGGCTGCGCTGGTAAAGTGACAGCACATCCGAATGCCTCCCCCTGACCCTTGCTATCTAGGACCAGGCTCATCAACCAGGTCCTTTACCTTCTTACTAAACTGATCGAACATCTTGATTTGCTGGAGCTCATCCTAATTTCTATCTATCATAGCAACGTAGCTACTGGGAGTGCCTCTTCTCACTTTTAAAACTAAACTGTCCCTTTTTCATGGAGTAGAAATATACAGATTAGTGAAATTAATTAATTAATAAAAATGGGACAATAAATCATATCACCCTGTCTGTAACACATTTTAGCTTTTCTATCCAGTGGTTCCTTCCACTTTTAATACACTTGTGATTAAATTCTTCCAAATGACTTATGCCACTGCCGACTGGAGAAAACTTGCCGGTACCTCTCAGTAACAGAAAAGTGACCGAATGAAATGAGCACAATGAGCTTACCATTGCCAGCTGTCGACCAATGTTTCCCATTGTAATGCCTCCAGCAAAAAATATACACGGCAACCAAGAACGAACATAGAGAAAATCTGGAGATGTGTATCTGGAATAACAGAGATACCTTTAACAACCCACAAAGTGCGTACAATGGCACTTATTAAGATAATTACAATGGTAATCAATTACTCTGCCGATTAAAGTGGCTAATGCAATTTGAAAATCTCAATTCTGAATTCCGTTATCATTTACTTATTTTAGCAAACAAGCACCAAAAAGAATACTTACTGATAAACACCATTATAGACTAGCAGTTGAGTGACCAAGGTTGCCAAGAAAGCAATTCCTACTCCAAGGCCAAAACCACTTCTAGATCTATCAAAAGTCCACCACAGTCCGATGGATAGTGCAGCCAGTGTGAGGGACAACTGTATGTTGTTATCAAAATCCACTTTCTGAGGTCAGTGTTAAAGAGTCATCTTAAAACTTGTAACCAAATAATATCACCTGTTCATTTTTCTAAAATAAGAGATGTTAATGTTGAGAAGGGAGTTGATTGCTCAGTCTAGAGTGCATTCAGTCTTTTAATACAATGTAGGAGAGTAGGGGGGATTAAAACGATCTCCAGTATTTACTAAAGATACACGGAGGGCATGATGCTTCACTAATAGAACTTACCGACCTGTAATAGCTCCAAAAATAACAGCATCCTACATACATTTCCAGTTATCAGATAAGACCCATTATTTAAGAAATGCTATCTTTGCAAAAAAAAAAAAAAGTAACTGGAAGCCTCAGAACACAGTATTGTGAAAGGAACACACTTTCACTGAAAAGGAAACCAGTATTACTTCTCAAACAGGTTTAGAATTACTTGAGAAACATACAGGAACTTGAAAATAGAAGCGCTGACAGCTATTTAACAGGGTACCACAGTCTGTGTATGATTTACTGACGGACACATTTTATACTAATGCAGTTCAGAAACAAGAGGACCAAGGACACAGTATCCCTGTCTATTATGTCAACTGTTCCAGTTTTAATTTGTTGCGGATAAAGCCTTGAAGTGAACATTATCTCGCAACCTGCCCAGCTATTTTGGTGCCTCGGACTTTCTGGTACAGGACAGTTTTGCTCAAATGATATTTTATTTCCGTCACCCTCTTAAGCATCCATTCACAAATGGACAGCCCTTTTCTACTCCAAAATCTCTGGGTAAAATGAAGCTTTGTAAATTCAATTTTCTCATTTCTTTGCTTGAGGATTACACTAAAGGAATTAATTTCAAGTATCATTAAAAGGGCATTATCTATGTCCCAAAAGCCACATCTTGGCTCTATATCCAGCTCCCCAGGGGAGACTACATATCTTGCCAAACTAACTGGCCATGCTGCAACTACAGAGAAGAGAGGAGAGTTCAAAAAATGCATATAAACCATTTTCCACTTCCTTTAACCCCCTGTTGTTTACCACCGTTCCCCTCTCCCACCCAACCAGCAGGTCTCCTAACACCCAGCCTGCTCACTTCTCAGCTGTTATGAGCCCCTTCCCTCAAGGTCAGTTCTGGTTTAGGCTTCATTTATCAAGAACCTATAGTTTATGGGTATGCTTTCTGAAAAAGCTTTTATTCTTCAGTGGGCATTATACCTCAAACTCAAAAGAAACACTTGCGAGCTCTGATTTCTCTTTGCAATAAACATTCTTGCAAAGAGTGGAATCTGACAATAAGTGACTTCTATCTTTGCTAACTAAATGAACTTCAGTAAGAGTCAAAGCAAAATAAGGAGGCTTCCAGGGTAAACAGGTAAAGCATCAATCTTAAAAATTGTGCAATATGATTTTCTAAAGTCTAAATAACCTAATATTAAGTCTATGTTATAAATTTTCTAAACATTTTGGGTTTCGCTTAAAGGATGGACAGAATAGCTAAGATTATTATATTTAAGGAAAAGAATGATCAAAGAATTTAATCAGTTCATTCTTTCAGCTCTAGAATTAAACAGAAAATGTTATTTAAATTTCTCAACTGGGAAACAGTGGAACTGTCTAGGATAGGAAGGTCTAACCCAGCAGACAGAGAGGACGTTACACACTTGTGGGGCTCCTGGGTAGGAGAATGCACGTTCCCAGACTCAGGGCAGGATCTCTGGGGTCTGGTCTCAGCTCCCGCACAGTCTCGCAGTACAAATGACTTAGCAAAGTACCGGCACTCTCAAGCTTTCATTTGTCTTACTATCTTTATAAAGAAAATGTGGAACTAGGTGATTTCTAAGTTTTCTTCTAGGTCTAAAATTCTGTGAGTCTATCTTTTTAAGCCCTCCTCAACACTAGATTTGTTGTAAAATCCTAAATCTCAAAGATTTCACCAAACTAACCATGTTGGGAAATTCTTTAATACAGAAGAAAAGGGAAAAACAAACAAATAATAAGAGCCACTGAAGGACTTCCGAATTCTCAGATCTCCACGGGAACTGAAAGGCAGGTGGTCTTCAGAATCTAGGACCCTGCTTCTTTCCTTGCTTCCTCTTCCGCAGCTGCTCCAAAACCCCTCAGCGCTTTCTGTAAGAGACATGGGAATCTCCCTGCCCCGGGACCCACCCTCTTTCCAGCTCACTGTCAGCCCCAAGCCCAGGGCAGAGTTACAAGGGCCTTGGGCAGCCTGAGTCACACGTCTTCTCTTCCCCGAAGGCTCCTGCCACCTCCACTCTCTAAGCCGTATCTTCTAGGAAAGGGAAGACCGAACTAGCAATTCCCAGATGTTCTTCTAC